AAAAAAAAAAAAAAAAAAAAAGAGAGAGAACGGACAAGGTAGCCTGGGTGGGGTGGGGGGAGGAAGGAAGGATAAGGCCACATTGCTTATTGTAGCCACACAAAAAATCAGACTGTTTGAATGACAGCCTTCTGTTGCTTGGCCATCCTCTGGAGTGGAGTGGCTGGGCCGGGGCCTCCCCCGCCGCATTCTTGGGCATCTGGGTGAGGAGACTATGGAAATGGGGAGGAGGGTAGGCAGTTATATAGTGGATGCAGTGGGGGTCTATGCTCTTGTTGGCTTTCCTGCAGCTCCAACAGACGCTTCATCATGTCCGTTTGCTACCCCATTAGCCTCAGCATCACGTCCTGCCTCCGCTCTTCGCGCTCACTTAATTCTTTCCAGGCCTCTGCCACTGAATGCTTCCATGCATTAAGCTGTGCCCTATCAGTGCGAGAGGACTGCATGAGCTCGGAAAACATGTCATCGTGAGTGCGTTTTTTCCACCTTCTAATCTGCAATATCCTCAGGGACGGAGATGATAGGGGGAATGTAGAAACATTCTACGCTCTACGATTCTGGGGGGACTGCATGGTCACCTGTGCTGCTGAGTTCGCCACGCTGACCAAACAGGTAATGAAATTTAAAAGTTCCCGGGGCTTTTCCTATGTACCTGGCTAGTGCATCAGAGTTCAAAGTGCTGTCCAGAGCAGTCACAATGGAGCACTCTGGGATAGCTCCCGGAGGCCAATATCATTGAATTGCATCCGCACTACCCCAAATTCGACCCAGCAAAGTCGATTTTAGCGCTACTCCCCTCACCGGGGAGGAGTACAGAAGTTGATTTTAAGAGCCCTTTAGGTCGACAGAACGGGGTTGGTTGTGGGGACGCATTCATTTTTAAATCGACCTAACGCGGCTAAAGTCAACCTAACCCCCATAGCATAGACCAGGCCTCAGAAACCTGCTTAGGAGCTTTTGGGAGGCTCAGATATAGGGTGACCAGATGTCCTGATTTTATAGGGACAGTTCCGATTTTTGGGTCTTTTTCTTATATAGGCTGCTATTACACCCCACCCCCGTCCCGATTTTTCACACTTGCTGTCTGGTCACCCTACTCAGATAAGAAGACTGTTCACCATCAAATTAGGCCTGAATAAAGACTGGGAGTGGCTGGGTCACTACAAAAAATAATTTTCCCTCTTTTGATATTCACCCCTTCTTGTCAACTGTTGAGAATGGCCATATCCACCCTAATTGAATTGGCCTCATTAGCACTGATACCCCACTTGGTAAGGCAACTCCCACCTTTTCATGTGCTGTATATTTATACCTGCTTACTGTATTTTCTACTCCATGCATCTGATGAAGTGGGTTATAGCCCACAAAAGCTTATGCCCAAATAAATTTGTTAGTCTCTAAGGTCCACAAGGATTCCTCATTGTTTTTTCAAGGGAATGAGATTCCTGGTTTGAGAACAAGCTAACTTAACAATTGAGTAATATGAAATCTGAGATTAGTTTGAGTAATAAACCATAGTTAAGGTCAAAATATAATTCTATTGGCAAAAAATTCAAGGAGGGTTAATAACTACAGAACTTGGGTAACCCCATTCACACAAGAAAGCTAAATGGAATCAAAATGGCTACTTTACAAGAAAGTAGATGAAAGGAAGGCACAACATATGTTGGCAACAATTTTACATATGTCTGGTTGTACATAAAATTTTCATCTACTTGCTCTGTCAACATTTTTTAAACTGTACAGAATTTTTGTCTAAAAAGGCTTGGGGTTTTTTGCTTATAAACACACAGCAAATATTTATGAATTCAAATTTTTTCAAAAGAAAATTCCTTGTCTCATTCCAAAATAAAATTTTATTTTCCTATACTTCTAGAAACTTCACATGCCAAACACTTTGAAATGTACGAGTTATAATTATATCATACTTAAAGGGATATCGCCAACTTGAATTTTTTTAAAATGCACTTTCTGATAGAACATCCTTTAATTCCTCATATTGATAAAACAATTCCCTTGAAAAAAAGTTTAAAGGTTATTCTGCTCTTCTCTTGTTGCTTATAAGGGTCTTTTCAGAAAGAGAGAAACTAAGGCCCTGATCCTGCAAATACTTAGGCACACACACCTTTACTCAAGTGTGTAGAACCACTGACTTATATGGAACTACTCTAGTGAGTAAAGTTACTCAGGTGCTTAACGATTTGTAGGACAAAGATGTCTAACTACCTATGCAGAGCACACAATGAAACACACAAAGTACTGTCAAATGCACAAAATAAACAAAACAAAATCTTTCCCCCACTAACTTCTTTCAGTTACAGTAATCCTAGGTGTGTTACTTGCATCTAAAAGAGGAACACATTTTTCAGGGGAAAAGATCCTTTTCAAGTTAATGGTGTGCCTTTAAACATCACTTGTAAAATTATTTCTTGTCACAAACATTAGCTAAATATTTATCTCCACAATTACGCTGTTTCATTTTAATTTAGGACTGAATGCTCCGGGTTTGAAATCTACTTACACAGATTCTGCATCTTTTTCTTTCTTAATTATTCCTGATAAACCAAATGCCTTTCTTTTCCTTGGTTTGATCCCTACAGAACAAATATTTATCATTAGAAGACCACCAAGATGAATTTATATTTAACAATATAGATAATACATTTATGAACACAATACTCTGTATAACATTTATGTCCACCTTCAATGCTTTATTTTCAATACATGGGTTTTTTAATGGCTCAGGTTTTTTTTGATTCCCTCTCCCCACTAATTTGGGGGAGAGGGTATGTAAGATTTACAGTTGATTTGATAGATACTGCTCAATGAATCCATAATCTTATATTATTTACACCAATGCAAGACGGTGGACATTTCAGAGAGAATGGGTAAAACTGACAATACAGCATTAAATGTCATGAAGATTCCTCTACCAAAAAAAAAAAGCTTTATAAAATAAGAAGACACCACTGAGTCTTATTGTAGTTTTCTATATTGAATTAATAAAGGATCACATGCATGGAATGGGCAATACCACAGACCATCTAGTCTATTCAACTGCCAAAACCCTAATAACTAGTCCAGGAGGAAAACCAGTCTAACTTCCATGGCAAACCTGGAACTAAATTAGTGGAGTCAAAAGATTTGCAGCATGCTAACAACAAAAAGAGGGAACTGAATAAAAACTATTCCAAAGGTTAAAGTCCTTTGTATCATAACATTAAATACATTCTGCATAGTAAAACTGACTTTGAATTGTACATGATACAAGCATATTTACTACAAGTTTTATTTTATAATGATCTTATGTGTCAAAATTAGTTTCAATCAGACACCATATCAGACTCATTGCCACGTCTACTCCTCTCCTGGATTTATGCTGAAGCAAATCTGACTACTATTTCCGCAGATCTGAAAATAGGGGACTGACTACATGCCTCCACGAACAGCTAGGTAGGATGCAAAACTATGCCTTTTATTCCAGTCTTCCCAAATATCCTCTTAATTGAAGCAAGCTGTGTTTTTAGGAAGGCAGTTTTATAATCTGGATATCTGGAACAGTAAGTCAACGACTGTTCTGAGAGTTTGAAAACAACGTTACAAAATGACAATGTTCCCCTTACTAATAGCACATTAGGTGCATGGATTCAGCAGAGGGATTTCCCGGCTGAGAAAACTAGAGTTCTTTTAATCAGGAAGCTACAATTCAGCGAATTATAAAATAAAAAGGACGCAGACTGATGGAATCCCTCCCCTCTGAAGAAATAATAATTCTTCAGTGTATGATCTGATATTCATTTTCCTTCTAGTCTATTTCAGAAAGCACTCTCTTTCTTGTCCCTTATCAAACTAAAAACCATTACTATTGTGGTGTGAGACTATAGTTCTCAAAATGGTGCTTCTCTGATCAATTGTCCTTCCATTGTAGTTTTGGCAACTTACTTTAACACTTGTTAAGTTTTCCTATAATTTGAGGTCCAATATTCTAGAAACAAAGGGCCAGATCAGGGATCACAACCAAATGGTTATGGATGAAAGTACAGCTGCTTATGAGAAACATTTTGATCCCTTGGCAATTGTACAGTAAGACTGTAAAATAGTGGTATTGGATGTTTTCTTGAACAAATATTTAAAAATGTTTAAAAAAATGCATTACTCAAAAATATCCATTACTTATTAGCCTTTCAAATGATTTAAAAGTAGAGTAACAGTTTTATTTAATATCAAGTATTAGGGGGTAGCCGTGTTAGTCTGTATCCACAAAAACAATAAGGAGTCCGGTGGCACCTTAAAGACACACAGATTTATTTGGGCATAAGCTTTCCTGGGTAAAAAACCTCACTTCTTCAAATGCATCTTTAGTCTTTAAGGTGCCACCGGACTCCTTGTAGTTTTATTTAATGTGTTGAATACCCTTCATAACCTGGGTTCCATTTTTTAATTTACACACACGTCATTTAAAAAAATATCTATCTATATAGATATACCTTAAGCAGACATTTAAGAAATTATGCAACAACTTTACTGCAGGAACTCACCTTCAACTGCACTAGCTGTGTTGCATTCTTCAAATTCGATAAGGCCTTAAAGGAAGAACATTGAAAATTAATATTAATCTAACTTAGCTATTAGTTTTAATTTTAAAAGACATTTTCTGAGGTGTTTTGAAAGTGGCATCTTTTTCTTCCAAACAGACTGGACAGTTTAGTTTGCAGTGTTGTTGTAGCTGTGTTGGTCTCAGGGTACTAGAGAGACAAGGTAGATGAGATAATGATGCTACCTAACTCTGGATAGTCTTGTTAAGACCCAGTTTACATCTCAAACACCCCTAGATGCATTGTGATCAGTTAAGTTGCACAGTCATACACATATAATGATGAACATATAATTAAATAATTAACATGATAGTAAGGTTTCAAATTTGAATATTCAGATATCAGGGAAACAATATTACATGGTCAAGATCCATACAGAATGTGTGTGACTACCAATAAGAATATTGCAAGTACAATTTAATGTATGTTACATTCAAAGTAGCTAAGTCAACATTGCGTTTAGGACACCTAACCTTTTACCTTTCATTGACTGTATATTCAAATTTGCAAGCATATTATATTCTATTAATATTAAGCTTTTAATGTTTTTTAAAGAGAAATGCAAAGAAAAGTCAAAATGGGAAAGACAGACATGGCTCCAGCACTACAATGGCATACAAATCTGTTTTAATCAAGTTTATTCTTCTCTATTTTTCCCAGTTTATTTTGTGCATTTGACAGCTCCTTGTTTGTAGTTAGCTCTCCTGTTTACCCAGAAGAGTCAATTATTTTGACGGCAAATAGTTTTGTTTGGGTTTATACTGCAAGAGCAGAGAGAAAAATATTTTTAAAAATAGAGAAAAGATTGTAAAAATGACAAAAATACCAGAAGGCATCAGGACAGGTGCAATACTTAAATTACCTGTAAACTCATTGTTTGAAACAGAGTATAGATTTCAAGTGGTCAGTATCGTTTTAACAATGGTGTTCACTGTCCTGGACGCTACACTTTAGACACTGAGGGTATATATACGCTGCAATGTAAGCCTGTGCCTGAGGCCACCCTCCTTGCATCTAACACTGCTAACCAGGGCACAGACCCCGGGTCCCAGGACCCTGCAGGGCTGAAAGGTCCAAGCTCTAATTAAGCCAGGACCCAGGACCTATTGCTTTACAAGGTAGACAAAGTCCGGCATGACTCGGGTCCTGGGAGTCTGCCAGAAGTATCTCACAATTCCATGGAAAACTTCCTTATTCCTCTCTATCCTAACAGTGTGCCACCCATTGTATTGAAAATGGAAGCTGCCCTCACCACCTTTGCAAACTGCAGCAACTCAGGTCAGCGTTAATCCATTCTCTTCTGATCACTGATCTGCAAGCACACTATCAGAGAGCCTCTTGGGTTTACAATGGAGAATGAACTGATCAAGACTTTCGCAAAGTGAAGTGCAAAGTGAAGTGCTTCCTGGTCAAGTGCAGGGCAGGAAGTAAAGCTTTCGCACAGTGCACCACAGTCCCTAGAGATAAAGTGGCCACATTTCAGGGAAGGGACGGGCACATGCTAGGGACTCTGGGATTTGGTTACTTTGACTTGGGTCTGCACACTTTGGCGTGGATGCCAGAGCCTTAGGTTTGAGCACAGTTTAGAAAAGTTTGAACACAGCGTTAAAATACAATGTAGATGCTCAAGCCCAGGGTTCCCCAAAATGGGTCAGCTGGTGCAATTTCTATTAACCCTTGGCTTATACTGCAGTGTAGACATGCCCTAAGTTCTTTGGGGGCAGGGACTGTCCCTTCTGTGTGTTTGTACAGTGCCTATTACCATGGGCCCAACCTCTGTATGTGTCTACGAACACACACATGATATTTATATTATGTGTAAAGTAGCAAAAGTATTGTTTTCAAATCCCATACTCAAACCAAATAACTTTTTTTTCTTCAGACTTTAAAATAAATTACCACTTTTAGGTAGAGATCCAAGCCTGGATAAACTCAATTACAGTCACTGAAAACAGGGCGTTGGAATGGAAACATTTATACAATCTTAAATACAGAAGTTGTTCCCATTCTCACTATAAAAAAGGCTTTCATAATAAGCAATACTTTGAGACTGCCTTTTTGTGGTATTTTGAGTTTTACTGTGTTAGAAATACAAGAAAGTTGTGCATCTTTCAGAATGTTCTGATCTAGATTAGAAAAAATGCAAAAAAGACTAGTGGTGCTTAAGAGCATTTTTTTTTAAATCTGTTTTGACTGGTACTCATTACAAAATGAATGAGTCATTATTAAATGAGGACAAGAAGGGGGTGGGGCTAGGGGCCCCATAGGGTCTGCACAGGAGCTAGTGGGGTGACAGCATCGAGCCAGAGTCTGCATGGGGGAGGTTCCCCAACTATCCCCGCAAAAAACCTGTTCCATACTTCTCCCACCCACACCCAACATTTACTCTCCAGGTTTATTCCCAGGCTCCTTCCCTCTCCTTGAGCTCCTCCATTACTCCCTGACTCCCCCAAAACTTTGCACTGCTTCTGAGGGGTGCGAGAATGACATTTCTGTATTGTAGTTTAAATGAATTATTACTCAAAGCTCTGTATTAATATGCCTAGTAGGGAATCTATTGGTAAAAAAAAAAAAATCCTGAATCTTTTTTGTTGTCCATATTGTTACAGACATACTTGCTGACAGGTATTTTGAAATAAATTACCAAAATTGAAACGGTCATGATTATATTTTGATAAATAAAATATGCAGATTTTGCAGAATTTTAAAATACTGTATTGTATGCAGAATTTTAAATTTTTTGGCACAGAATTCCCCCAGGAGTAAGACAGACATGCTGCAAGTTTCAAGTTTTTTTTAAGCATTATAATATAGAAAATTATACTGTAATTAGAGAAGATATCACACTTCAACACAATTCATTAACAATCCATCACGGTTTCTATATTTTGTCCATCCCAATTACCACCATCTGCCTTTGAAAATTATTTCACAGTCTAATACATCTGATATTTCAATAGACTTAAACATCTATTCTACTCCTGTTTTGGGTATCTTGAGGAGGACTACTTATTATACTAGAATGTACCAAAGTGTATATAGTGCACAAATGGATGCAAGAATAGATAATACTGCTGGAGTACAGCCAGAGGGGTTATAAAAGGATGAAAAACTGAGACCAGATCATCATCCACCAAAACAGATCGCTATCTCCTAAGCAACCAGAGACAGTAGAAGGTGTTATGCATGAACACTGCTATATAGCAGCTTAACATCGATGAGAAATCCAGAAGCACACCTAAATTGTGTACTGGACTAATTGTGTTTGTGCATCTTCAGCCAATAGAGTCTGCACTGTGGCTACAAAAACCTCAAAGTGCTTTCCTCTGTCAACCAACACAACCTTCCTCTTTTTAGGTTCTGCTTCATCCAGACATTCTTCATTCGTGAGCTGATCTCATCTAAGCACGTGGCCAGCTCGATGGCAGTGATTTTGTCATAAGTTGCGTAGGCTAGGAAGAGCTGTGAGTCATTTGCATGCACTGGCACGGGAGTCCATATTGTTTCACCTGTTCTTGTAAAGGCGGTATGGAGATGTTGATGTATATGTGTTCACCTGCTCACCATGAAGCAGACAGAAGTCCATATCAACAACTCCACAATATCCAAGGACTGAATAGAGGACAAAGGAAGAAGCTTACTACATAGGGTCACCACAGAAGGCTGAAGTAGTCTCAATATAAATATACTTCTGTTTAGAAGGTGAACTGAGATCCTAGCTGCACAAACTCCATTGCTTATAGAACCCAGTGGTGCACAGGCTAACGCCAATGACCCTAGAAGCCAACGATCTAACAGTGAATATGCATTATCCACTACAGCATCCAAAGGAGAAAAAGTGATTGTTTCTAGGTACAGGATGTAATATTGGTACTGAGAGGGCTAAACCATCTCCTGAAGCAGATTGGCTAGCCAAAGTCTTCAGAATCAGTGCCATAATTGGGCCCTGATCCCTGCTTGGAATCTCTAGGTGCTACTGCAGTACAAATGAATAGGAACATAAGTTCACTGTATTATAATTGAAGAACTGAAATCTCTTTCTTTCTGGCTCCCTTAAGATAAGGAAACGTAATTCATGTCAATGAGGAGGAACCCTATTCCCCAAGGAACTTGAAATGTGAAATGGCAAAAACATGTTCTCTCATTTATATAATCTAAAGCAATGTGAAAATGAAAGTGGCCAAAATAGAATGTTTGGTAAATGTTTTAAGTGTCGTCGTTTTTTTTTTTGGCGCAACACCAAATGTTAAGAAAATTAACTGCAGACACTCTCTCTCTCATTTTTGAATATGGATATCTCTATCAATTATAAATATACTTTTTTCCTAAATAGACATGTGATTATTCCTCTATGGACTTATGATTTGGCCAGTTAAAGGTTCTAAAATGAAGCTCTTTGAGAGTTATTTCCACACACCAAAAAATCTGTAATCTGCATTTATTTTGGGTTTATTCTGATAACTAACAGTTGAACTAAATTTCACACTTTGCAAAAAGTCCCTGAATAATCTCTCAGTCAGATCAAGCATGGATAGTTTCAGCCTGCAGTCAATGGTTTTACCGAAAAGGGTGGGGGGTGGGGGGGAAGCTTGAATTGAACCCTTCTTAACCCTTGAATTGAACCCTTAACTACAGAAATGCTGCAGTCTATTATTATATGACAAATACACATTAAATTCATGAACATAATGTATTTAACAATTAAGTCACAAAATGTAAAAGCTACATAACTAGGAGAAATTTAAACTCACCCACATTGCACATACTGTTATGTAGTATTTTAAATTACAGGGAAGTCGCATCTTACGTGGGGGTTAGGTTCTGAAGTCAGCGCATAAGGCGAAAATCGCGTATAATCAAACACTCATTGAGTGGAATGGTGGGCGGAATCACCTGCACTACAGGTACAGTATTTAAATTGTTATTTTTCTCTTTGTTTTGCCGAGCGCGTATAGTTAAAATCGCGTAAGTTAAATGCGCCTATGATG